TCTATTCTATTCTATTTCTATTCTATTCTTTATTCTAATTCTCCATTCTATTCTATTTCTATTTCATTCTGTTCTATCCTATTCTATCCTATCCTAACTCACATTCTATTCTATTTCTAATTCTGAATTCTATTTTATTCTATTCTTATTTCTAATCTATTCTATTTCCTATTCTATTCTATTTTATTTCCTATTCTATTCTATTCTATTCTAACCTATCCTATCCTATCCTATCCTATCTCCTATCCTATTCATATTCTAATTCTGAATTCTATTTTATTCTATTCTTATTTCTAATCTATTCTATTTCCTATTCTATTCTATTTTATTTCCTATTCTATTCTATTCTATTCTAACCTATCCTATCCTATCCTATCCTATCTCCTATCCTATTCATATTCATATTCTAATTCTGAATTCTATTTTATTCTATTCTTATTTCTATTCTATTCTATCCCATTCCATTCTATTCTAATTCTATTTCGTTCCGTTCTGTTCTATTTCTATTTCTATTCTATTCTTGATTCTAATTCTCTATTCTATTCTATTTTTATTTTAATTCTCTATTCTATTCTATTTCTATTTCATTCTGTTCTACCTATTCTATTCTATCCTATCCTAACTCATATTCTATTCTATTCTATTTCTAATTCTGAATTCTATTTTATTCTATTCTTATTTCTATTCTATTCTATTTCCTATTCTATCCTAATCTATCCTAATCTATCCTATCCTATCTCCTATCCTATTCATATTCTAATTCTAATTCTGAATTCTATTTTATTCTATTCTTATTTCTATTCTATTCTATTCTATCCCATTCCATTCTATTCTATTTCTATTTCGTTCCGTTATGTTCTGTTCTATTTCTATTTATATTCTATTCTTTATTCTAATTCTCTATTCTATTCTATTTTTTATTTTAATTCTCTATTCTATTCTATTTCTATTTCATTCTGTTCTATCCTATTCTATCCTATCCTATCCTAACTCATATTCTATTCTATTCTATTCTATTTCTATTTCTATTTCTGAATTCTATCTTATTCTATTCTTATTTCTATTCTATTCTATTCTATTCTATTCTAACCTATCCTATCTCTTATCCTATTCATATTCTAATTCTGAATTCTATTTTATTCTATTCTATTCTTATTCCCTATTCTATTCTATTCTACTATTTTCATCCTATCCTATCCTGTCCTATCCTATCCTATGTAGGGGTTTAGCTGGGAGGGGGAGAGCAGCGATGCCAATTGTCTGGCGGTTGGGACCCTCCGGTGGGTCTCAATCAGTCCCCGTTTCCCTGGTGGGGGGGGGAGAGCATTCCTTCTCGGGTTTTGGTGAGCTCAGAGGGAGGGTCTCTCCGCCTCCGGACGCCCGCCTGGCCCCTCCTCGCCCCCTCCCCACCCCGGAGCTTGCAACCGGAGAGCCTCCGTCCGTTTTTGGCTGCCCTTCCCGGGACAGCTGGCCGGGCGGAAATGCCTTCAGCAGCTGAGTAATCCCCCCTCTCCCCTCCCGGGGAACTCGAGCCGACCCTCCCCCAGCATTTGGGGTCGGGGGGCGAAGCGCGGCCGGGAAAGCGCGTTCTGCTGGCTCCCAGGCCGGGGAGGGGACGCCATGCCCGCATGGGTGGTCCTGGGGGAGCTGCTCTGGATCCTGGTGGTCTCAGGTAGGGCTTGGGGGGGGTCGCCCCCCACCCACTTACTTAAACCCGGCTTTCCCCTAAGGTGTGCAAGGCGAGATGCGCCCCCCTCCCCTTGCAGGGCGCTTGCAGGGCGCTTGCAGGGCTAGAAGTAGGAGCCCCCTCCCCACCTCCTCTCTTCCTTCCCCCCCACCCCCTCTCCTCTCTCCCCTCTCCAGCCGCGGGGTCTTCCGAAGTCGAGGGTCGCCTGAGAGACAGCCTCTTCGTGGGTTACCACGTCGACGTGCTTCCCATCCGCCGACTCGGGCAGAAGGTCCCCGTGCGGGTGGGGATGTCCCTCTCGCAGCTGATCAGCTTAGTAAGTCCCGGTCGCTAAGCGGGACGGGAGGGGGGGCGCGCCCTGGGAGGGGGGGGGAGGGAAGCCCCGGTTTTTGCCCACAGCAAGCCCCCTCCCCATCTTCCCTTTGGCTGGGGGAACGCAAGATTCAGAGTCGTGAGAGTTGGAAGGGACCTTGGAGGTCTTCTAGTCCAGCCCCCTTTCCCAAGTCCTACGCCATGACTCTGGCGTCCAAAAGCCTCCGATGGGGAGCGGCTGGGGAGGATGGGGAGTGGAGTGCCGCCGGTCACCCTCCTGAGGTCGAGGGGGAGAGGTCTCTTGGGCCCAGACAGGCTCTTTGCCCCCCCCCCCTTGGGGTGCGAGTCAGGGGCCAAATCCCCCCCCCCAAAAAAAATTCTGCAAAAGGCAGTGAGTTTTGCACGCTTGTTCCTGGGTGTGCGAGAGGCCACGGAAGCCGCAACAGCTGAGAAGGCAGCTATGAATAGCTCATTGTCTCCTGCTGGTCCTGCCAGGCGCTGGTGCCTCCTGGCGCCTGGTGGGAATTGGGGCGGTGGGGGGACTGCAGGGCAGGAAGAAGACCACCGCCCCTGGTCTCCGGGGATGGGACAGAGCAGGGGAAGGGCTGAGCTCTACTTCCAAACAGGAAGGAGACTTCCGATCAATTACCAGGAGACAGTAAGTTCTAGTCCCACTTTAGGCCTGAAAGACAGCTGGGTGACTTTGGGCCAATCACCAGGTGTAGGTGAGTTCTAGTCCCGCCTTAGGCATGAAAGTCAGCTGGGTGACTTTGGGCCAATCACCAGGTGTCGGTGAGTTCTAGTCCTGTCTTAGGCCTGAAAGCAGCTGGTTGACTTTGGGCCAATCACCAGGTGTAGGTGAGTTCTAGTCCCGCCTTAGGCATGAAAGACAGCTAGGTGACTTTGTGCCAATCACCAGGTGTCCGTGAGTTCTAGTCCTGTCTTAGGCCTGAAAGCCAGCTGGGTAACTTTGGGTTAAGGAGGAGGGGGTCCCCGAGGTCATCTAGTCAACCCCCCTGTCCAGCGCTGGGGCGCAAGTGAAGGCTTGAGGTCCAACTTGGCGTGAACCCATCCACCATAGAGGGGGGCAGGCAGCCCCTCCCTCAGTCACTGGCTCTTCCTGGGTGGGTGTTTCCCCCCCTTTATTTCCCCGAGTGTTGAAAGTCCCAGCGATACGGAGGCTCCGGAAAACACACGGATGCCCATGTCTTCTTTTCAGAACGAAAAGGACGAAGAGCTGACCACAAAGGTTTACATGGACCAGGTGAGTTTTTTAAAAAAAACACACACACAAAAAACACAGACTGCCATCTTGACTTTTTTGCCCTCTGTGGACCCCTCGGCCTCTGTGTTAGAAAAGCGCGGGTGGTTTTCTCAAACTTTCTCGTTTGCAGAGGGCGAACAATCGGCAGAGAAATTCGAAGCTGGAGTAGAGGAGAGAGAGGAGCTATTTCAGGAGGGGGGGGAGGAAGAGAGAGAGGGGGGGTTTGAGGAGACATGTGTAGAGATTGTATGGGGGGGGAGGGACTTGGGCCCCTAGTAAGAGGGATGTTGCCTATAACAGCTATGGAGTGCAGAACTTCCGGGCAGCTGAGTGCATTGACGGGGTCCCATCTGGGTTGCCAAATATTGAATCCATCCAGAGAAATTTGAACTTGCAAAGAAAATCCACTCCTCAGTACCTCTTTTCTGAAATCTGACACTGGGCCGTAGATAGCTAGTCCCAGACTTACGACCACAATTGAGCCCAACCGTCAACTCCTAAAGTTGCCATGGTGAGGGAAGGGCGGGGGGAAAGCTCATTCTATGCATACTTTTGCCTAGATTTGGATCTCAGGTTACCGCAGCAGCCTTGGGAGGGGTGCCCCTCATTGGGGAATGTGATTCATGACACAGACTGAGGGGAGGGGTCAAGTCCAGCCATAATTCAAACGAAGCTCAGATCTGGCTGCAAAAAGGTCCCGTCAAAACGGGGCTCCTAGTAAACGGCTAGCTTCGCTTTGAAACTTGGCTCGAGACTCATGAATCAATTAGGGCATTTTTCGGGAAACCTAGCACTGATGTTCCTGTTGCTAAGCGAGGTGGTCCTTAAGTGAGCTTGGCCCTATTTTACGACCTTTCTTGCGGACCGTTGCCAAGGGAACCGTTGCCGTTGTTAAGTCAATCACACGGTCGTTAAGGGAATCTGGTTTCCTCGTGGACATTGAAGGACTTTGTCACTAAACAGTCCGCTGTAAGTCGAGGACTGCTGATAGCTTATAAACTTATAATTCATGAACCCGCTGGCTGGTTTCTAATTTTTTTCTCTTTTTCCCTGCTTAATTCTTCCATCCTCTTCCTCGCCCGACTTCCCTTCCCCTCCCAGGAGTGGATCGACTATCGGCTCACCTGGAATCCGGACGAATTTGAGGGAATCACGTCCATCCGAATCAGTGCAGACGAAGTGTGGCTCCCGGATATCGTTCTCATGAACAAGTGAGCCTTCGTGAGGACTAGGACTAGGACTAGGATGCTGGCCGTGTCAATAGCTGTTGGGGTGGGATGGGGTGTTGGAGGTGACAGGAGCCTCCCAATCCATCAGAATAGGGCTGGCAGGGGCCTTGGAGGTCATCTAGTCCAACCCCCGGCTCGAGCAGGCGACCTTGTACCATTTAAGAGAAATGGTTGTCCTTAAAATCGTCCAGCGTTGGACCATTTATAACTTCTGGTGGCAAGCTGTTCCACTGGTTAACTGTCCTCACTTTTGGGAAATTTCTCCTTAATTCCACGTTGCTTCTCTCCTTGATTAGTTTCCATCCGTGACTTCTTGTCCTGCCCTCAGGGTTTTTGGAGGATAGCCTGACCCCCTTCTTCTTTGGCCCCTCAATCAGAATAGAGTTGGAAGGGAGCTTGGAGGTCATCTAGTCCAACGGAGGGAGGGAGGGAGGGAGGAAGGAAGGAAGAAAGATGAGAAAAGGAAGGATAGAAAAAAGAAATAAGGAAGGGAGGGAGGGAGGGAGGAAAGAAGGAGATGAGAAAAGGAAGGAAGATGAAAAGAGGAAGGATAGAAAAAAGAAAAGAGGGAGGGAGGAAAGAAGGAAGGAAGATGAGAAAAGGAAGAATAGAAAAAAG